AAGAAAGGAGTCAAAGAATATGACATCTGGCAAGTAAAGCACAGGAAAAAAACAAGGCATTAGAACTTATATTCAGTATTCCATACTAGAACATGTCTTTAACTGTTACTGTGATGTTGCTGAAGCCGAAACATCAATCTCTCTAGTCTGACACTGTCTCAGACTTATAAATGAAAGTTCAATATCCTCTAAAACGGTTCCGATCCTAAACAACTTGCATGATTGGTCTGTCTAACACATGTCAATCTGAATATATCAATATTTGTTCCTGGATATCCTAGTCACTTATAAGTCACAAAGCACTTTAGGCTTAAATTTTGTATAGAGATCATTTTTTAAACATAGTTTTGGACTTCTCATTTTTCTTGTGCTAAAATAAGTTTCCACACATATTATTACTATCAGAATTTTTTAACACTGTTATTTGCTTCTATTATAAATTTCAATTTTCAGTATAAATAATTTTGGCACTGCTGGAAACAATATAAATGTAAAGTCAAATAAATAATTTTTACTATTTTCAGTGAATTGAAATCCAACTATTTGTAGAGATAGGTTTTTTTCCAACTTCTAGATCCCTATAACATTAGTGGATTAAGTGTTGGGTTGATGGTCATGTAATGAGCAAATGATCCACATAATAAATTCTAACACTACCGTTAGGATTAATAAAGATGTAAAATCTTGTTCTCTAAAAGTAGTGTGCACATGCTTAACTTCATTGAGTCACATAAATTAATGGAGAATCACTGTTACTTTCATTGTTTGGTGTTATGGAACAATTTTTACTCACCCTAAGCCCAAGTAACACAGTACAACTACTTATAGCATTTTATTGGCTTAATTTTCCACTGACTTTGTGGAAGCAAGTAAGCAAATCTTTTGCTTAAAAAGCAACTTGGTGGGTTTTTATTTTACAAGTTTTTTCAGAATTTCAACAATTAACCGGTTACCTCACCAGGGTGTCTTGGAGAGTAAGGAGCCAATGATTAATATTAATAATGCTTAATAAGCATGTGGTTAATTTTTAAAATGTTATATACATTTAGAAATAAAACTTGTAATTTTACCCCTATGTGCATAATGAGAAATATTGTGATGGAAATATTATTGCTTAAGTTCAAGATCGTAAAATTTTATAAGGAGTGATATCTGTAGTGTCCTCAATATTGATTAACTGAGTGTTTCAAATTTCAAGTATTTACCTGATGCAGCCAAAAGAAAGATTATGGATCCAGTTTATATATGAATAATTACTAGAAAAGGAAGCTATTTAAAGAACGAATCTTTTTTAAAAATTCAATTGCATTAATCTGTTGTTTTCTCTTTCTATTCTTTAAAATAAAAACATAGGGAAAAAAACCCCAAACACAAACAATAAAAAAAAAATTCCAAACCCAAAAATAAATACTTAAAAAGATTATACATGTTCACACATAGTCCTACTCAGGTTACTGTTAAAATTAGAATTAGAATTAGACATTATTACTACAAATACTCACTATAGTTTTCTGTTGGTTACTATCAGCCTCAAAATGATGGTCAGTGTTAATCACTAACAAAAACTGAAAGTTAAGATGATAACTGTCAGTCAGACTGCTGTTAAAAATCTGTTTCATACTTGTTTAAGTATTGGTTTCTTGATATTTAAGATCAAGCAAAAGTCTATTCCTTGATACAAGTATAACAGGCCTCAGGGAATAGAATTCTGGACCAAGTTTCCCACAATTATGTTAAAATGGACCTCAGAGGAACAATTAAAACAATGCTGCACCAGTTACTAAAGAGTGGTGTGGAATTGTTTTAACTTAGCAGATCATAATTTCTTTGTGAAGACTCAAACTAACCTGGCATAATACTTCATAAGAGGAGGATAACTGAATAATGAGAGTCATGGAGAATTCTAGAGGCAGAGGGGAATTTTATAAAATAAAAATATGTGTTTATAAAAACTATTATGACTGCTTGAGGGTCCTTCTTATTTCAATAGAAACCAAACAATGGAAGTGATAGAAAATGACTTTAAAAACTAGGGTCAAAGATAAGATTGCAGAGATTCATGCAGTCCTCTAGAATAGGAAGGAGGGTTAAAATTACTACACATACACTACGAAGTGATAATTTGTTTCCAGTTAATAAATAAAAAAATAAATTTTCAGTTGAATTATACTTGAAATTGAATAGAATTATGTGAAAAATGGAACAAATGCAATTTTCTATAATAAACTCACAATCATATCAAATTGTATATGGATTTTTTGCTTATTATAGTTTGATATTTCCATGATAATCCAGATTTGCATTTAAAACTTACCATATAAGTGTACTCATCATTTTATTTCAAAGAAGGGCACACCTGTGGATATTAGACCATTTTAATTACTGAGATTTCATTGATCATCCTTTTTTATGACCTCTTATTAAAACATTCTTTTTCTTGGCTCATAATTCAAATGCTCTCGATATTTCATTTAATTACTGCTTATTCTTCTTTTCTGTGACCTCCTCATCTCGCTGATTTTAAAAAAAAGTGGTAAAATATATATAACATAAATTTTTTCAATTTCTTGTTATTTTTACATGCACGTTTTAATAACTTTGATTACATTCATAAGGCTAGACAGGCACTATCTCTTGATTTCTGAAATCCATTCTACTTGTCTCTGTATATTTTTATATTATGAAACATTAAAATTTTTTTCTTCCTTTGTGCTGATTTATTTCCTTTATCCTGATGTTTGCAAGGTTCCTTCATGACATAGCATGTGTAAAAACTTTATTGATCTTTATTCCTAAATTGTATTCCAATGTATAATATGCTGTTCATATTTAATGTCTATTCTTAATAGTTCTGCACTGATTATTGGTGTTCTGTTTGAGTATTGTATTTATTGTTATGTGCCATCGAGTCACTTGCGACTCATAGCGACCCTGTGTACAAGAGCTCTAAATGCTCTTCTATCCTGTGCCAACCTATCCATCTCAAACGTACTTATTCCCACTGTTCCAGTCACAGAATCGATCCATCTCATTGAAGGTCTTCCTCTCCTTCACCGCCCCTCCACTCTGCCAGAAGAGCTGAGTTAAATTATAATTTAATTAAAAATAATATTTCTCAGAAGAAGTACAACTGGAGTGTTCCTTGGGGACTTGAAGGGTGACACTGTGTCACACATAGTTTAGTTGGGGTAAGTTGTTAGAAGGGGCCAGTCACTAGGAAAGTATACTCTGCTTGGAATAATGGAAAGAAATTGAAAGAGAAAAAGACATGACATTAGGTAAACTGATATAGTAACCATTACACTGTTAGGAAACACCATGAAGATTGTGATAATATTGGAGATTTTGACAGAATAAAGTAAGGCTTTGTTCTACAGTACGTAGGGTCAATATGAGTCAAAGTCGACTCCACAGCACCTAATAACACAGCAACATTTCATAAGAAAAAGAATTATAAAGTCTTCCAAAAGTCACAAAACATTTCTTTTCCATGTTCTACATAACATTGCATTTATGATCTATTTCTGCTGTATATTTATACATTACTGGTATATTTTGTTTTGAAAGCTTTATATATATGTTGGTAATAAAAAAAAACACACAAAACAAATCTCTGTGCGATTAACTGTCTCTAAAAACCCTCTGGAGGGTTAGCTATGACTCTATGGTACACAACAACAACAACAACAACAGCAGCATTTTTTATTAAGTCATTATTGCAATTACTATTGCTAAATTTGTCACAAACATTACAACAATATGGTATAAAGTTTTGGCATAAAGTAAACACTAAATAGCAACACCAAGGTGCATTGTTGAAAGACTTGTTATGAATTGAAAATGTTGATATTTCAATGTGTGTCTCTCATGATCCTATCTATTATAACAGTGTCTTGACCATTAAAAGTATTTTATAATGCACAGAAGGTAGTTATTTAAATTCAAGATTAGAGATGATGAAAAAGGAATAAAACCTTGACAGCACTTACATGTGTTTGGAAATGTTGCCTCTTGTTGTTTTTATGTGGAGCTGAGCTACTTGAGATTCATACCAAAGCTATGTACAAAAGCTGTGCCAACCTTATTGTTTTTGGCACACCTAAGTGCACTACCCCAGTCACTGTTAATTCATCTCTTTGAGGGTCTTCCTCTCCTGCACCGTACTTCCACCTTCCCAATTATGATGTCCCTCTCCAAGGACTGGTTCCATCTTGCAACATGCATAAAGTATGTCAGACGAAGCTTCGGAATCCTCACCTCCAAAAGGCAGCTTCTGGAGGCAGGAGTGATATCCACTTCCTAAACAAAATGCCTCTGGAAACTCTATGAACTTTGATAAATGTCTATAGTTATAGAAATTATTCAAGACCTTTTGTTCATAGAGTCTCTATGAGTCATGCTCAACTCGAAGGCAGACAACAACAAAGAACAACCTGGTTTCACCCTCTCTAGGATGAACCTGTTTGTTTTACTAGAAGTCCATGGTAGGTCTATTCACTACTCTTCTCCAGGACCTAGCTCAAAGGTTTCAATTATTTTTCTATCATCCATAGTCATTATCTAGCTTTTTGAGTCATAGCAAATAAGTGTGAAGATCGTGACCTGGATCAGGAGCATCTTAGCTTCCATACTGACATAGTTACTCTTTAACACTGTGGGAAGGTTACAAACAGCAGACTTTCCCAGTTCAATTAATCTTTTGATTTCCTGGCTATTAGTACCAAAAATGTTGATTGTGGAGCCAAGCAAACCGAAGCTGTTAACAATCTCAATCTCACTATCATGTTGCTGCCAACAGACCCAGTGGTGAGAATCTTTGTTTTCTTGATATTGAGCTTTAATCCATATTGAAGGCTGTAGTCCTTGACTTTCTATAGTAAGCACTTTAGGTCCTCCTCTGTTTCAGGAGGAAAACAAGGTTATTTCATCTGTATAATGTAGATTGATTATGAGTCTTCCTCCAATCCTGATGCCACATGCCTCCTCATAAACACCAGCCCTCTGGATGATATGTTCTACATATAGACACAGAAGAGGAAGAAAAGACCAGGATGGATGTCAGACGAGACTCTGAATACTGCACTAGAGTGCCAAGAAGCCAAAGCAAAGGGAAGAAATTACAAAATTAGGAAAATGAACAGAAGATTTCAAAGGGAAGTGTGGAAAGACAAAGTAAAGTATTACAATGAAATATGCAAAGAGCTAGAGTCAGAAAATTAAAGGGACCGAACTCCCTCAGCATTTCTCAAGCTAAAGGAACCAAAGAATAAATTCAAGCCTCAAGTTGCAATACTGAAGGATGCTATAGGCAAAATATTAAATGATTCAGGAAACATTAAAAGAAGAAAGGAAGAGTGTACAGAGTCACTGTACCAAAAGGAATTGACTGACACAAAAGAATTCAATGAAACAACATATGATCAAGATCTTGTGATGATGAAAGAAGAAGTACAAGCTGCTCTGAAACAATTGACAGAAAACAAGGCTCGAGGAATTGACTGCACATCAATTGACATATTTCAACAAACAGATGCTGCCCTGGATGTGCTTACCAAGTTGTTCCAAGAAATCTGACCAACTGGAAGAGATCCATATTTTTCCCTATTCTAAAGAAAGATGACCCAACAGAGTGAAGAAGTTATTGAGCAATCTCACTAATTTCACATGCAAGCAAGATTCTGCTGAAAATTACACAAATAAAAAAAACCCCAAACTAGAACAATATATAACAGAGAAGTGTCAGGTATGCAGGCTGGGTTTAGAAGAGTCTGTGGTACTAGGGATATTATTGCTAATGTTAGAGGGATCATGGCTGTAAGCAGAGAGTATGAGAGGAATATTTATCTGTGTTTCATTGACTATGTAAAGGTATTTGACCGTGTGGATCACAATAAACTGTGGTTAATTCTAAGAAGAATGAGAATCTCAGAACACTTGATTATGCTTATGTGAAAACCTTGGACCAGGAGGCAGTTGTCAGAACATCACAAAGAAACTGCATGGTTCAAAATCTGAAAGGGTGTATGCCAGGGTTGTGTACTATCTCCAAATCTTTTCAATCTATATGCGGAACAGTTTTGAAATATAGAAATGTTTCAAATGCATAGAAAATGAGTTCTAATTTCCCTATCACTGTAAAGGGAGTTCTACTAGTCTTGTGGCAAGAATTGTGCTGCCAGCCCAAAGTCATGTGGTTCAAGGTCATCAGCTTTATGGAAAAAAGATGTAAAATCTTCTCTCTTGTAATTTAATTTACAGTCTCAAAAAATAAGCTGGGTGTTGAGCTTTGGGTTAATTTTTACTCGATAGCTTTAACAATAAGATAATTAAAAGTGGTCATTTTTCCTTTTGAAATTTTTTAAAGTTTTCTTAAGGACTATTGATACCAGTTGAAATGTATACTTTATATATCCATATAAAGATTTTTTTTATATCAAGGACTGCAGTCTTCTATATGGATTACTGTCAACATCAAGGAAATAAAAGTTCTTATCATCTGACCAATAGGCAGCATCATGATAGACAGATAGAGGATTGAAGTTGTCAATAATTTAATCTTCTTTTGATCAATCATAAATATGCTAGATACCAGCACTCAGAAAATTATGAGAAATAGTACATAGGGCAAGTCTGCTGTTAAAGAGGTCAGCTTGAAGATCAATGTTTTTCTGATTCAGGGCAGGGTCTTTTCAATTACTGTACATCAGAGAACTGTACAGCTGAATAAAGAAGATAAAGAAGAATTGATACCTTGGAGTTACAGTGTTGAAGAAGAGAAACAGATGTCTTGGGAAAAGTGCAGCTAGATTGCTCCTTGGAAGCAAAGTTGGTGGAGTTTCATCTCTTCCACTCTGGACATAGTGTTAGGAGATGCTATTCCTTGGAAAGAGACTTCATGCTTGGAAAGATGGAGGGTCAGCAAAAGATAGGTAGACCTTCAACAAGATGGAGTGATTCAGTGATTATAGGAATGGGCTCAAGTGTGTCAGAGAAAATGAGAAGGGCACAAGATAGGACAGGTTTCGGGTCTGTTGTTCATAAGGTTACTATGAGTCATACTTGACTCGATGACGTCTAACAACAACAATAAATGTGCCATCAAGTTGAAACTGACTCATTGCTGAACATCCAGTGAATTTTCAGAGCCTGTGAATAGATTGGGAGGCAACTATTCTTCCATGGAACAGCTGGTAGATTCACTTCCTCTTGCCTTTGGGTTTTCAGCACAATTTCTTGCCTCTAGACGCTAGATGAGATGGATTGATAGAGTAACCGAGGCAATGAAGGTAGGTGTGTCAGAATCAGTGAGACTAGCTCAGGACAGGGCAGGCTTCAGAGCTGCTCAAAGAGTTACTATGGGTCACAGGCAACTTGATGGCACATAGCAATAGCAACGGGAGACCAGAACTCCCTAGATTACAATTGTTGTTGTTTTTTGTTGTGTACTGTGAGTCATAAGCAAGCCATAGCTAACCCTCTGATTGGTCTTCAGAGGCAATTAGTCACATGTGAAGCGATTGCCCATTTTTCTCCTGAGGAGTGGCTATGGCCTTGAACCACTTGTCTTTGGGACTGCAGTGCAGTTTCTTGCCATTAGGCCACCAGAGCAGTAATTATTAACACAGAATCAAAGAAGCTCCAGTGCCCTGGTTTGTAGGGAGTTGCATTGCTAACCCAAAAGCAGTTTGGTTTTGAACAATCTCTCTGGAATTCACCAGCAACTCTTCAGGAGAAAGAAGGGCAATTTTCCTCTGCACTATTTACAGTATTCAAAAATCCTCTGGAGGTACAGCTATGAATAGATTCAGACTAGATTACAATGAGTGTTAATATAGAAAGAAAAGACTTTGGTAATAAATTTATAATGTGAATTCTTAAATAATTTACTTCAATTAACATTAAATATAATTAAAATCAGAATAAAACTAATGCCAAACAAACTTATTCAATTTAAAAATTAAAAACTGTTATCACCTTGCTTCATTATAGTGAGATGATTTAGCAGATACGGGAAAAATAGGTTGAAGATAAACTTATTGAGAGGGACAGTGATTTTTTAGGTCCTGACTTTAGAGGCATACCTATGAAAATATTAATGTTATTTATTTTCTAGGAAAGTGATTTGTCTTTTGAAATTCAACATTAAGAAACAATGATTCTCACAACTAAACCAATTGTCAGCACCATGATAAATGAAGAAGGCATTGAGATTGTTCACAATTTCAGCTTGCTTTGTTCCATAATCAGCACTCTTGGCACCAGTCGTCAGTAAATCAAAATATGAATCACATTAGGAAAATCTGCTGTCAGGGACCTCTGCAGTCAGAGTTCTGAAGAACAATGATGTCAATGTAGAGACTAAGGTACTCCCGATCCATGCTGGGGTCTTCTCAATTACTTGCTATGTATCAGAGAACTGGACAATGACTAAGGATTATAGAAGAAGAATTAATGCCTTTTGGTTATGGTGCTGGAGAAGCGTCTTGAACATACCTGCCAAGAGAACAAACAGGTCTATCTGTCCTGGAGAGGGTGTAACCAAGTTTCTTATGGAGGCAAGGATTTTGAAGCTTCATCTCACATACTCTGTGCATGTTGCCATGAAGGATCACTCCTTGGAGAAGTAAATCATGCTTGAAAGAGTGGAAGGACAGTGTAGAAGAGGAAGACCTTGAATAAAGTGGACGAATACAGTAATTGGGATAATGGGAATAAGTGTGTTGGAGACAGTGATACTGGCAGGGTTTAATGATTTTGCACATAGGGTCGGTCCCTTTCAGTAACAGGTGACTTGAAGGTACACAACAATAATCACAACAACAACAGAACTATTCAAAATATAACTTTTGAAAGTCTGTACTTCTTGTTAATTTGAAACTCATAATATAATGGATAAATAAGTAAACCTATCAAGTATAATCTGAATTCATTATGGTACCACAAAGGATAGATTTTTAACACAGATATATTTCATGAAAATGCACCCACACAATCAATTTTCCCCCTATGTTTCTCTTTATATCCCTTTGTCATTCCATTTTCAACTGGAGGGAAAAGTATTTCAAATAATACAAATAGAGATTAGGAAATAGCCGCAATTCATCTCACAGGTTTTTCTGTTATGAGAAAGTACCCTCGTGCAGTACAAGCCATGCAGCATAGGGCATCTTTAATTCACCTCCAGCTACACTCACTTTGCAGAAACACAGCCAACTATTTTTAAGTCAGATCCATAGAAAAATATTTAGTGAAGATAAATGTATCTTTCATGCATTGATGGTTCAAAGGCTTACACCTTGATTCCCTAAGCTATTGGACCTTCTGGAAAAAAAAATACTGCTATTATCAGAAATAAGTTTCTTTTCCTCTAAAGTTTTGTCATATAACTCTGGCTGGTTGTTATTGACATTCAGAAACCTGTTGGCTTTTTGGTGGCTATAAACCAGAAATTGACTCCATGGCACACAATAACAAGAGCATTCTGTTATGAAATGATGTTATTTTCAAATTCTTCATATACACCTGAAAGTTTGACAATAAATTGGAAATATCAAAGAAATATTGATGTGATGCTGCCAGAGTATTGAATGTTCCCAGACTACCAAAAGAACAAATACATTTATATTGAAAGAATGCAATGATGGTGAAACTCATTTGACATATTTTGTGCATGTTGTCAGGAAATGCCAGACCTTTGAAAAAGACATTATGCTTTGAAAAATAGGATGACTTGAAAGACAGGAAGTCACTCAAAGGGATGGATTGACACAGTGAGTGTAACAATGGGCTTGAATATGGTAGAGATTGTGAGTATGCGACAGGATGGGACAAGATTTTGATCTATTGTTCACAGTCACTATGAGTCAGAGTTGACTTGACTCCACATACATTGTGTCAGAACCTTTGAAAATTGCCTTTTTATAGCTACCGTGTTAGCCCCCATTGAGGGCATAATCTCCAGCTACCCTAACTGTGAACACTTGGACATGTGGTCTTGCAAATCATCAACAGCTATAGGGTCAATATAAAATAGCTCTTTCCACAAACTGATAAAAATTGGTGACAGTGGTGGAGAAATTGTGAAGAGACTGTGGCAGTGCTGTGAAGACACTTGGCAATGTGTAACCAAAGAAACCCTAGAGATAAAGACTACAGTTAATTTTCTTTTTTTTTTTTTTTTTTGCTTGCTGGAAGATTAAAGGAATAGCTGATTTTTAAATGCCCTGAGGTTAAGTTTGCTGGATGTTTGAAAAAAACCAGAAGCTTCTTGCATTTATACTGTTGAACTGAACCTGGACTTCGACTAATTAAGGGATTGTGCTTTGTTAATATGGATTGGAACTGCTGGACTAAAACTGGACTTGTATTGTGAGACAGGTTTTATTGCCTCCCACTCTCTCTGACCTATTTCCAAAATAAACCCAACAACTGTAGGGAAAGTCTGTGAATATTGCAATAAATATCAGACCCAATGATTAATCAGAATAAGTGTAAGAGGATGTGGGGTGGCATGCCTGACTATGTAGCTATTTGTATGGTGCAATGGGCATTATTGATGGAGACAATTTCCTTTTATGAAGAGAGTATAAGTCAGACTCAGCCTTCCCCATGTTGTGTCTGCTCCATATACAACATAACAACAATGTTGTTGTTGTTGTTAAGTGTAGTTGAGTCGCAGGCGACTCATAGCGACCCTATGAAGGAGAGTCCTCGACGCTTGGGTGCCTTTCATCCTCTCTCCAGAACAACAATGTACTTCACAAATTATTGTTCTCAGTCTTATTTACTAAGGAAAAAAAATTAAAAAGAGAAAATAAATTGAAAATTTCATTTAAGAGTCCATTTAAAAGTCCATTTAACATTCCTTATTCTCTATTTCAGTGCTGGCTCTCTATTTCAGAATTAACTCATAGTTAAACCTCCACAGAGGCACGTTTTGATTAGCAATGGAACTCTAATGCTTATACCACTAGAGCTTCCTAAAAGCCCATTATCATACCTTATATATTCCTGGTGTTACAAATGAATCTTAACTGCAAATTTATTTACTTATATCTCAACTCTCATTTCCATCCTATAGGAGACATTAGAGTAAATACACTCAGGTTTTTTGGGTTTTTTTTTTAATTTGGTTTGTTGGTATTTTTTTCCTTGCCTGCAAATAGGGTCACCCACAAACTGTAATTAATTCCATGACAAAAGTTTTGGTGTCATGGAAGGTTGTATTTGCCTTCTCTTTTATTTATTTATTTATTTATTTTGGATGTCTTTTTGTCTTTAGCATGCTCTGTGTGTGTGTATGGTATACATACACCTCTCTCTCTCTCTCTCTCTCTCTCATCTATCTTTCTATCTATCTATCTATCTATCTATCTATCTATCTATCTATCTATCTATCAGCTGTGCTGCAATCCTGAAGGCATGTGGTTGGAGGCTACCAGCTGCTCTGCAGGAGAAGAATGGCAATCTTCCATGTAATTAAATGCCTCTGAAAACCCACTGGAAGGTCATCTAAGGGTCTGTTCCAACTCAACAACATTCAACAACAACATATACATTTATAGATATAATTTACAGGAGATTTGTAAAATTAGAAGTTACTTTCTCTTCCATTTCTTTACTAATGTTTCTCTTACTTCCTTGTTACGAAGAGTATAGATGAAGGGGTTTAAAACTGGAGTCACCACAGTGTTCAAGACAGTGACAGCTTTGGTCAGATTCAAGTCATCTGTGATTGAGGTTCTGACATGAAGGAAGATGGTGGATCCATACCAAATAAGCACCACAGTTAGGTGAGAGGAACACGTAGAGAAGGCCTTGCTCTGGCCGCTGGCTGAGGGGATCCTGAGGATTGTACTAATGATGAAAATGTAGGAAACCAAAGTGATGAGGCAAGAACTTAGAATGACCACAAAAGCAATCACAAATGCCACAAGCTCCACTGCGTATGTGCTAGTACAAGCCAAAGCAATCCAGGGGGCAATGTCACAGAAAAAGTGATTAATGGCATGTGGACCACAGAAGGAGAGGGTACTGATGAGGGCTGTTGGCACCGTAATGGCCAGGAAGCCACAGATCCAGGAGCCCAGAGCCAACTGTGTTGAAAGCAGGCTGCTCATGATGGAACTGTAGTGTAGAGGGTAGCAGATGGCGAGATAACGGTCATAAGCCATCGCTGCCAGCAGGAAATATTCTGTGCAGCCTAATGAGAAGACAAGATACATCTGCAAAAGGCAACCAGAGAATGATATGGTCTGGCTTCTTCCCAGGAGGATGGCCAGGGCTTTGGGGACTGCAGCTGTAGTGTACCAAATCTCCAGGAAAGAGAGATTGCTCAGAAAGAAGTACATGGGGGTGTGGAGCTGATGGGATGTACCCACCAGCATCAAGATAGCAACATTACCACACACTGTGAGGATGTACATCACCAGAAAAAGCACGAACAGACACATTTGAAGAGTTTGGGACCCTGGAAAGCCCAACAGCAGAAATTCCTGGGGGCCAGTTTCATTGTTTGTGGCCATAGTGGTTGGGAAAAAACCAGGAAACAGATGCCCAAAGCTGAAAAACTTTGAAAGGCATGACACAGTCCTGGAAAAATAAACAAATGGATTTATGGGAGATTGTCAATTGAATATAGAAATTAATAAATAGTCTATTTATGAGTGTTGATTTTGCACCTGGAAAAGTACATGATTACTATTAGTTTCTTTAATTGAGCCATGAGCCCTTTATTATTGCAGCTGTTTTAAAAAAAAATTTCTATTTAGATGCAATTGAAAATATAAGATTCAAACCTCACCTCTTTCCGTCTATGAGCTATTCCAGGTACTACCATGCATTTACCTCAACCACAGATTGAATACAAGCCATAAAGATTTATCTTTTCACTTGGACTCACTATTTTCTAAATTGTCACTTTCTGCAAGATCTTTGAATAAGGATTTTTGTTTTTGTGAACCAATCTTATCTTAGTTCCAAGTTACTTGTATATTTGAGGATAATAACTTTCAAATTTATGAATTCATTAACAGATACAAATGGAGTATATAAGAGAGCATTACTAATTTATAAAAAATAAATTACAACTTGTGGCCAGTGGTAAGAAGCTGTGCTGCCAACACAAAAGAAATTAGTTCAAATCTACTAGTTGCTCTGCTGGAAAAAGATGGACAATTTCCTCCCTTATGATTTACAGCCTCTGAAAACTGGCTGATAGGTCAGCTATCAGTCTACTATGACTCAATGTTACACAATAAAATAACATAAAGAGAAATTCTGATGCTTATCAAGATATGAAGGAACTTTGAAAATATTTTGCTGAGTGAAATAGGTCACACAAAAAGATAGATAACTGTGTGGTTCCATGTATCTGAAGGAGAACTCACAGCATAGTCTGGAGGGAGTTGCTCTGCTAACTCCCAAGCCGGGTCACTCTGGTGGCTCAGTTCACATCTACCAGTGGGAAGTTTCCTCCTGTGTAATTTTTCAAATTGAAAATTTGACAACTATAAATTGGTTTCAATAACACTAGTAGCTTGATGGTATTGTTAGAAGACACTAAGTTTCTGTTAAATATAGGAAACCTTTGGAAATGTATAACTACTAATATCTTCAAACATAACCAATAACTGATGTCAATGAGTTATATGTGAAAATTCATTGTAAACATTTAATTATAATATTTTGAGGGTCATTATCTGCCAGTGAGTCAGAACTAACCCATAGCTGAGTGGGTCCAGTGGGTTTTCAGAGCAGTAAATTACATGGAAGGAAATTGCCCATCTTTCTCCTATGGAACAGCCGGTGAATTGAAACCACATGTCTTTGGGATTGCAGCTTTTTTACCACTAGGCCACCAGAGATCCCTATTTTAAGTAGTCTTCAGAAATAAAGCATAAATTGTGTCTAAAGTTTGAAAATAAATTTTCTTTTATCAAATTTGACTGTGTATATCTATTTCTTGGTGTTTAAAATTATTCATATTATATTCTAAGTTCTCATTACATGGTAATATTTTTCAAAGAAAAAAAATAATAAAGTTCTGTATTGCTTAAGACAAACTATTTCCATCCAGGACAGATGCTACGTGCTTCCACTTTGATAACTTCATTCACATTATTCCCTTATTCCCTCTTACACTTTTCCCTATACATCATGTTCTTGCACTGAACATATGTCCCATAGTCTATAAATCAGTTTTTACTACATATCTTCAACATCAGTAAGTATAATTAAACTATAAAATATCTCTATGAAGAACATATGTTTATAGATTACTCATGCCTCATGAATTAAAAAAGGGTGTTTGAGATTATTGACAGTCCAGCTTCTCAATCATTAATCTCATATAACTGAAAATTCATTGTTCATAGCTCACTCTCCAATATATTTTCATAGACTGTAAATCACAATGGAGGACATTTCTCCCATGGAGTCACTGGTGAATTCAAATTACCAAAGAGGAACCACCTTTGAGTTAGCAGTGCAATTTCCTACCTACCAGGCCACCACCAAAATGCCAAATTCTAAATTCCAACTCAGTCACATCTACGATGGATCCTGTAGATGTCTGTTCTCACCATCATTCAGAAGATGCCACTAATAGAAGGTACACTCTGAGCAACAATAATTAAGTAGTGTTTTTTAACAAGAATTTTAATGATTAGATAATTAGTTTTACAAAATGTGTTTTGTTCACTCATTGTTAAAGTCTATTAGACTCACAGAGACCTCCTAAGTCAAAGTAGAAATACCCCACAGGGAATCCAATATTTCAATATTTTATGGAAGCAGGCTGGCATATATGGCTTCCATGCACAGTAAAGAGTTCATACCTTTCCTTTTAATTAGCAGTGGAAAGTTTAACCATTGTTTTAACAGGACTCCTTTAGGTATTGTTAGAAGCTAGATAAATTGTTAGTTATACAGATGAAGAAAATATTTCAAATGTCTTAAAGAATGAGCTAGTACATAATAAGATACAAAGAAAGAATATTTTTATATCAGTTAATAATAAATAAGTACTTTTACTAAATTTGAAGAGAGAAACTATTATCTCCCAGTATCTGCATGATTCTACTAAAAAAAATTTATCAGTTGTTCTCCAGTGTAAGTGGCACTATTAATTTTTACTGTCATTGGACATGGTACACTTTTTAAAATAACAGATGATAAAGGGGATTCATTCAAATATCAACTTATAATAACAATTTATAATAGTAAACATATATTAAATGCTTATCCATCAGTAATTATTCTAATAATTTGCTTCAATTATTTTTTTAAATTAAACTAAATTATTTCTTATTATTATCTTGCTTTTATAACAAATAGGAACTTAAAACCCAAAGAAGCTAAAGAAATTGTACACAGTTGTGTCTATCTAGTCATAGAGGTCAAAACCTGGAGCCACAGTGCTTAAAGACAATAGGTAGCTATTTTCAGGAAAAATTTAACCATGGATCTCAAACTCTAGGTCACAGTGCATGAAGACAACAGTTACTCATTTTTAGGAACCCTTTTTTACAACTCTGTGAGATCTGATTAGCAAGTTCTACTGAAACGATAATTTCTTTTCAAGTATGATTAATGTGTTTTCAGAGTTATTTTCAAAATCTATCAATACATATATCTTCTATTTTAAAAATTTAGTGTCATGTGAAAAAAATAATTCAATTTATACTTTCTGGTTTTCAAAAAGTAAAAAATCAAATGTGTGGTGATGGTACAATAAAGACTAAATAAAAAGTATATTTCCACATTATGAAGTGTTACTTAACTTGCAGTAACATTGTTCAATTTGTCAGATATCATGAACTTATTTTCTTTTAAAATGCCAAATATTTTAATACATATGTAAGTTGATGTTATTGATTATTTTTAATATTCTAAGATAGCTTATATGAAATTCTATGCACATGACTTAACAAGAGTTACCAAAGATAAAAAATAGCTGTATTTGCTACTTACAATAACTTTCCTTGAGCGTCTTAAAATGTAAAAATTACTTGACTTAACTTTTATCGAAAATATGGTTTCTAACAATTTACTGAACATGAACAATAAATTATACTGCCATAGAGTTTAGAAGAGTTTCCTTTTGTATCTATAAATCTCATTTTAATAAATCATTTTCATGCAAACATACAATATCTTAGTAAGAAATAACCGCATGTGACTTATTTCTAGGTTACAGTATGTATAAAGTATTGATTGATTGGTATGATAGATCTATCATGCAGCACAAATTTGTAATTATGTATTTGTGGATATATAAATTATTTTACAGAGCTTGTCAAATGCACAATAACCTCATACACTCACCCAGTTGCAACTAATTCTACCATAAATGCAAGTCTCCAAAATTGTCCCCAAAGATTTCACCTTTTCTCCCTTTTCTTCTTCCATGATCTTCTTCTTTTGAAATCATGATTTTTTGTTTCCATCATTTTCTGTCTCACTCTTCTTGTTTAACTTACTATTTTATTATTACTAATATTTACTACTCTGTAACTCAATCTTTCATAGTTTGAATTTTATTCTCAGGATTTTTATTTTTTAAAGAAGAATCCTGTTTCCTTTAGTCCTGCCCTTCTGGTTCTGTCCAGTTATGGTTCTATCCTAACTTCTCACCTGGTGCTTATATTTCTCTGTATTATGCTTCTTCATAATGAGCTCCCTACTGACAACAATTTTTTATTAAGTAATGACTTACCTGTGGGTAAATCTTTTGGGAAAAATTGAAATTTCTTTTTTCAGTACTTAACCCTAGTTCTAGAAAGCTTGACCTTATTGATAGATTTTTTTTTTATCTTCTAAAAATGTAGTTCTGAAAACTTATCAATAATTTTATTAAAAGAACTAGATTGTAAAATTCTTAGCATTATAAAATGCTGTTTCTGTTTCTTTTTTAATGAATTAAACTAGTTTTTCTTCTTCTTGAGTGATATTAGCAAAAATAATTTCATGCTATCAAGAAATGTAAAAAGCCCTTTAAAAAAGCCAAGAAAAAACTAAATAAATGAAAAGTCACTTAACATAAAATTGTAACTTTATATACACATGACGGAACTACAGATCAAAAATCAATACAACCACTGTTTCAGTTCTTGTCATTGAAGGTGTTCCTGGTTTATGCTGGACACCAAATTTCATGAGTGTGATGTCCTTCTCTAAAGTGTAGTTTCATCTGGGAACATGTTCAGGATCCATGAGATGAAATCTTAACAGTCTTGCTCATCAAGGAGAATTCTGTATGTAATTTATCCAAAATAAATGTGTTTACTTTTTTTGCAGACCATTATATAGTCAGTATTCTTTACCAAAATAATAATTCAAAGGCACTGATACTTTGTTGATCTCCTCATTTATTAGCTAGCTTTCACATGAATATGAGGCAATTGAAAAATACTATGACGGTGTCAAATGTATCTTGATTATTAAGAGGAGAACCTTCAATAAGACGGATTGGCACAGTGGCTGTACTAATGTTGTCGTTGTTGTTATGTGCCATTGAGTCACT